TTGCCAACACCTATCAAATCACAGGCTAGATACAGGGAGATCAGCTCGGTGGTTTGTGACCACCTAGCGGGGTGGGATAGGGAGGGTGCGAGGGAGGGAGACGCAAGAGGGAAGAGATATGGGAACACATGTATATGTACAACTGATTCACTTTGTTATAAAGCAGAAACTAACACACCATTGTAAAGCAATTATACTCCAATAAAGATGTTAAAGAAAAAAAACAGGCTAGAGAAATGGACAGAGGATAGCTCTTTGATCCAGCAATTCTGTATCTGAGAATCTATCCTAGAGAAATTTACATATTAAAAAAATAGTAGTACGTGCACAGGATAGTTTGCAATGGAGAAAAAGTGGACACAACCTAAATGTTTTTCAATGGGGAAATGGTTTAGTTTCTATTATTTATTGCTACCTAAAAAACTAACCCCAAAATCATGCCCTAAACGAACCATCACTTTGTTCTTATCTTTCATAATCTTGCAGGTCAGGAATTTCTAGAGGGCACATCAGAAAAGACTCCTCCCTGCTCACCATGTCTGGAGCCACAGCTGGGGAAACAAAAATGGCTGCAGGCTGGACAGCTGGGGTCTGGCTGTGCATCTCTGCATCCTCATGAAGTCTCAGAGCTAGTCCACCGGGTCTCTCAAGTGTGAAGACCTCAGAGTATTTGGATGTGGCTCAGGGCTGGAAGAGATTGTTCCCACTTCTTCTGCCCTTGCATCAGAAGTCACAGAAGGTCATTTCTGCTGCACTCCACCAAGCGAGTCACTATAGTCAGGCCAGATTCAAGGGGAAGGAATGACTCCACTTCTTAATGCGGGGAGTAGTTAAGAATGGGCAGCATTTTTTTTTTTTTCAGGCTGCGCTGCCTGGATTGCAGGATCTTAGTTCCCCAACGAGGGACTGAACCTGCACCCTCGGCAGTGAAAGTACGGAGTCCCCATCACTGGACCACCCTAATTTGTGTTTTAATGTTACGTTAAGAATGCATAATGTTCTACCATGTATGTGCAACTATTATTGCAGACCTGTCATAAAGAAACAGAAAAGTTTGCTTGTGGGATATATTAAAAAATATATCTTGTGAGGATAGATAGATAATCTTGCAATGGTTTGAGGAACCTTTCAGAAAAGGGTAGAGGAAAGGAGCTTTCCTGACAGGGATTTGTGACTGTCTGCTGACATTAAGAACATGAGTGTAGGGCTTCCCTGGTGGCGCAGTGGTTGAGAATCTGCCTGCCAATGCAGGGAACACGGGTTCGAGCCCTGGTCTGGGAGGATCCCACATGCCGCGGAGCAACTAAGCCCGTGCGCCACAACTACTGAGCCTGCGCGTCTGAAGCTTGTGCTCTGCAACGAGAGGCCGCGACAGTGAGAGGCCCGCGCACCGCGATGAAGAGTGGCCCCCGCTCGCCGCAACTAGAGAAAGCCCTCGCACAGAAACGAAGACCCAACACAGCCATAAATAAATAAATAAATAAATAAATATTTTTTTAAAAAAGAACATGCGTGTAAATATCACAGGAGCCTGGAAACTGAGCAACAGCTGGGCCAACTGTAGAGGAAAGAAAGGAAAGCTAGAGGCACAGAGGACTTCAGGGGTTTGACCAAGCGTTGGAAACCACTCCACTGGCCTCTGCTGGTATTAATTCCCCACTTGGTGCTCATTCAGCTTGCGACCCCCTGCCAGGAACCAGAAGGTTACACTTATAGAACATGTAAATGAATATGTACTAGCAGTAAATCTAAGACAAACAAACCCTGACACAAGGTCTGAAGTGGTTCCCCCCCCTCCTCCCAAAGTAGGTCCCTTCCTTCTCCTGGCTGGGATGAAGGGAGGGGAGGTATCTGTCACCTCTGGAGGTCTCCTCTGGGGGAAGACGGGGTTTCCAGACTTCTGTTTTAAAACTAACAGTCTGGTATAGGAGGGGTGTTTTGTTTTTGATGAATAAAAACAAAACAACCAAAAAGCAAAAACATCTCTCTTCTTTTTCAAATTAAATAGCTTTCATGATTATGTCATGGCGTAACGGGCATTCACCCGGAATAACCTAGATCCTGCATTTTAAAACTTTCATTTGCAGATTTTTATCAGGTGTGGCTGGCATTTTGTTGAATCCAACCGACAGCTTTAAACAGGGGAAGGAGGAGAAAAAAAATGTTCTGAACTTTTTCCTTCCTTTTTTCTCACTTCCTTACTGGGATGTGAGCTTGCTAAAGAACTGTGGGTGAGCCTCAGGACCAGGGTTGCCATGGTTTCTATGGCCCTGGGTCCTGGCCTCCCTCCCGCTGCCCTTCCCCAAGTGTGAGCATTTGTGGTTGGTGGCTCCGGGCAGAGACGGGAGCTGCTGATGGTGGGTGGGCGCCAGGTGCTAGTGGGCCTGTGGCCAGCTCACCGCAACACCGCGACAGCCCCGCAGAGCCCCGGTCCTTTCCGGGCCGGAGCTGCGACTCGGGCCCCACCTACCTGGGAACAGGCTGCTTGGGGTCACTCCTGTCCCTGTCGCAGAAGGCAGATCCCAGGCAGCCATGACCCGGCTCCCCGCTGGAGAACGCAGACAGCAGTCAGCACCCTGGCCTAGGGCCTCTTTTTGGTTTATTCGTTCCACAAGTGATGGTTGGGCTGAATTGCTCACATCCATGGGGCCGGCCCCCAGGGTCAGTGGTCCAGGGTGCTCACCCGCCTTTGCCTGTCCTCGTGTTGGTGCCGACAACAGTGTTTTTAACAGCCTGGCCCCGGAGCCCAACCACCCAAGGGTGTACCCTGCTTACCTTCCCCAGGTGAACATGCTCAACTAGAAACTCTGTGCCTCAGTGTCCTGATGTGAACATGTGCGCTGAATAAAAGTACTTGCCCTTTGGATGTGTGGTGAGGATAGCACAAGATGATCTGTGTGAAAACCCAAGAATGACACAGGGTGGGTGCTCAGTAAGGTACTGGAGAGGAAGAGAGTGGGGAGGGGAGAGAGAGTTCGGAAGAGAAACTTTCAAGTAGTTTAGATTTTAATCCCTCTGGAATTCCGCAGGCTGATCGTCCAAAGTATCTAGGACTTGAGTGCAGCTGTACCTCTGCCTGTGGGGATCTTTAAGAAACATCATGAAGCACGTTCCAAGGATAACTTCCTCAGCTGCTTTCCAACCATTTTTCTGTGCCACATACCAGACGATTGGATCCACTGCCAGCAGCTCCAGGGGTCTATTTCCACCTGGTTCTCAAGTGGGGTGGGGCTCCAGATGGAAGTTCGCTGGATTGAGAAGCCCTGATTCTGATGACACCCCACCTTCCCCAGGCCCCATAAGGAATCGCTGTCATACACCAGGGACATCCAAAGCGTGTGCCTTGTGTCTGAGCCAACAACAGTTAAGGAGACCCCTTCCTACTCTTCCATGGGGTCAGAGCAGCTAGAAGCAGCTTTGTGGTGATCTTGACAGTCTCTAGCTAAGGTCACAGTGACTTCAGGCTTTATCCCCAAATAGCACAAATAGCACAAACCAGCGCCTGGCTGTGTTCCCAAATAAGGGCTTTGACCTTTTAAGAGGAGAATTCAGAATTGGCGGAGAATCTAAAGATCATATAATCAAACCTTTCATTCTACAGATGAGCAAACTGAGGCATACAGAGAGGAGATGACGAGATGACCAGTCCGAAGTCCTACAGGTGGTTAATGTTAAAGTTAGGACTACAACTTAGATAACCTGACTTCTGAGGCTGAGGCTCTTTGTACTACCCCCGAGTTCTCCCAAGTTGAGTAATGCACAAACCCCTTTTAAAAAACTGCAGATCCCCAATGTTGATGTAAATAACTATATTATGTTGCTCAAGTATAAAAAGAAAACTTGACCTAAGCTTTGTATGTTTACATTAAAATGGATTTATAAGTTGCATATCACTAAAAGTATAAAACCAATATTCAAATTAACGAGATGGATGATGCTGTCTTGCTGGAAAAGGAAATTGCTGTTGGCAGCACGAAGATGGTGCTGACTGCTATCACACAGCTGCTTTGGGGTTCACACACTTATGTTACACCAGTAACATGCTCAATCCCCTGACATTCGAATCACCAGGAAGCCTTCACTCAGGCTGTATCCCTAACATCATTTTGCCTTTAATGGGTTTGTACATACCATTTGCATATAAATCAATCCCTGTTCTTTAATAGCTTAATTAAAACAGTCTAAATACACAAATAAGGAGGGTGGTGGGGTGGAAGGTGAAATCACGTGGCAATCCTAAGACAATCACGTCGATGATTCAGAAAAAATATATATATATATGTTTAAGTATATGAAGTGAAAATACATACTTAAAAAACTGTCCACAGGCTCTGGTTTTAGAAATGCCGCACATTATATCCTGCTGCCCTAAAGGCATAGAAAGATAGTGGTGAAACTTCCCTATTACCTTCTGTAAATGTCCCCAGAGCCATAACTTTGCTTCTTAAGACTTCACCTATTAATGTCTTAGCATAGGCCTGTGGGGGACTTCTCTGGTAGTCCAGTGGGTAAGACTCCGA